CACACACACACACACACACACACACACACACACACACAGGTGAGTTTACCTGCAGGACACCTTCAGTCTCCTCAGCTTCAAACTGATCTGAGGTCTGTTTCAGCTCCACCATCACTTTACCGTTAACTGCAGAGAAAGACCTCGGATCAGAACCACAGCTGTCCAGGACCTCTCCACAGGAAGTGGAGGCAGATTCTGAAATATTCCAAATCAGAACCTGTTCATGGGAATTCCCATAAAATAAAATAAATAAACAAAGTGAATCACAGCCGAAGTAAAGACAGGTGCTGTACCCAGCAGAATGAGCAGAACTGTGGAGAAGGCCTGGACCAGAGCTCGCTCTCTGACCAACCTCTGCAGCTTACAGCGTCTCTGCAGGACAACATCTGGACCTGAAACACAGAACCACATCATCAGGACCACCTGAGAACACCAGGACCACCTGGCACCATCAGGACCACCTGGAACCATCAGGACCACCTGGAACCATCAGGACCACCTGGCACCATCAGCACCATCAGGTCCAACTGGATCACCTGACACCATCTGGACCACCTGGAACCATCAGGTCCAACTGACACCATCAGGACTACCTGGCACTATCTACACCACCTGGCACCATCAGCACCACCTGGCACCATCAGGTCCAACTGGAACCATCAGGTCCACCTGGAACCATCAGGACCACCTGGCACCATCAGGACCACCTGGCACCATCAGGACCACCTGGCACCATCAGGACCACCTGGCACCATCTGGTCCACCTGGAACCATCGGGACCATCTGGCACCATCGGGCCCACCTGGCACCATCGGGCCCACCTGGCACCATCGGGCCCACCTGGCACCATCAGGCCCACCTGGAACCATCAGGTCCACCTGGAACCATCAGGACCACCTGGCACCATCAGGACCACCTGGCATGGAGACAGTCTGACTCTACCTGAGCAGGTGAAGCTCTCCTCCAGCACAGCTGCTCCTCTGGTCTTCAGTCCGTGTCGGGGGAAGGTGAGCTGCATCAAACAACCGAACTTTAGCCTCTTCTGTCCGACTCCTCCCACCTCATCCTCATCTTCCTCACCTTCCTCCTGGCTGGTGAGCTCCTTCAGCTGAAAAGAGCCGACTGAACATCAGACCCTTCAGAGCAGGACTTGCTGTAAACACCTGAAGCAGCGATGCATTCAGGTAGCGTAGGAAATGTAAAAACACTGAGCTGCTTCTTGGTTACCTCTGCTCCCTGCCTCACCTGAGTGACAGGTAACAGGTTGTTTCTYACCGTGATGATGTCAGAGCTCCAGCCATTGAAGCCCAGGCAGTGATTGGCCAGATCCAGGCAGCGGGCGTGGCTCAGAGGTGTGTTTCTGACAGACATGAAGTGAGGGGTCTGCTTTGAGCTCATCTTCACCTGAAGGCGGACACACACAGGTGGGTCTCAGGTGAACTGACAGCCAATCAGATCGGATCAGGAGCAGCGTGTTCCACTGAGCACMTGGTAAACTGAGTACAGGTGAGCAGTCACCTTGAGGGCGGAGCTCTGGAACAGCGAGCGTCCGTCAGTGAGTCTCTGAGCCGCGGAGGCGTGAGCCGCAGAGTAGAACTTCACGAGGGCGTAAAACCCAGGTGTGTGGAGCGGAGCGTTAGGACACACCTTCAACAGGTAGAGAGGTCCGAAGGATGAGAAGACTGCAAACAGCTGCTCCTGTAACAAACAAACAGCTGCACCTGTAACAAACAAAAAAACAAACAAACAAACAAACAAACTGCTCCTGTAACAAACAAACAAACAAACAGCTGCTCCTGTAACAAACAAACAAACAAACAAACAAATAAACAGGTGCACCTGTGACAAACAAACAAATAAACAGGTGCACCTGTGACTAACAAACAAACAAACTGCTTCTGTAACAAACAAACAACCTGCTGCACCTGTAACAAACAAACAAATAAACAAACAGCTGCACCTGTAACAAACAAACAAACAGCTGCACCTGTAACAAACAAACAACCTGCTGCACCTGTAACAAACTAACTAACTAACTGCTCCTGTAACAAACAAACAAACAGCTGCACCAGTAACAAACAAACAAACAAACTGCTCCTGTAACAAACAACCTGCTGCACCTGTAACTAACAAACAAACAACCTGCTGCACCTGTAACAACCAAACAAACAAACTGCTCCTGTAACAAACAAATAATCTGCTGCACCTGTAACAAACAAACAAACTGCTCCTGTAACAAACAAACAACCTGCTGCACCTGTAACTAAAAAACAAACAACCAGTTGCACCTGTAACAAACAAACAAACAAACTGCTGCACCTGTAACAACCAAACTGCTCCTGTAACAAACAAATAATCTGCTGCACCTGTAACAAACAAACAAACAAACAGCTGCACCTGTAACAAACAAACAAACAGCTGCACCTGTAACAAACAAACAACCAGTTGCACCTGTAACTAACAAACAAACAACCTGCTGCACCTGTAACAAACTAACTAACTAACTGCTCCTGTAACAAACAAACAAACAGCTGCACCTGTAACAAACTAACTAACTAACTGCTCCTGTAACAAACAAACAAACAGCTGCACCTGTAACAAACAAACAAGCAAACTGCTGCACCTGTAACAAACAAACAAGCAAACTGCTGCACC